AGGATTCTCAAGATTTTATTTCCAGTCACAAAGCGGACCTGTGCCACACCATGTGAGTCCCTCAGGATCACACCTATCTGGGAAGGAGTCAGGCCTTTCTTGGCCAATTTATAAATCTGTTCCTTCATGTCCTCAGACATCAACTTCAGCCATGTGGAGATGCTATGGCAGTGAGGCAGGCCCTTCCCGGAAGCTTGCATGGGACCCATGATGGCAGAGGTCTTGCAGCAAAGAGAGTTTAAGAAAGTTTCTATGAATAAGGAAAATACTTTCTGGGCAGGATTGGGTAGTTTTTTCATGGGGCCATGAGGGTGTTTCCAAAGGCATCTGGCAAATAAGCCGGCAACTGGACGGTCAAAACCACACCCTGATTGCTGATGGTACTGTGCAGTAGTCTGGAAGTAGGGATAACATTTAAAAAAGCAGGAGTTAGCTGGCCAGTGAATGAGTGCAAGCTTGATATCTCCTGAGTGAACCTGTACTTGGTTGCTGCCATCACTAGTGGGCCAGCTTCATCACCTTTGAACTTGAACTCACACCAGCATCTCAAGAGTTTCAATGGTTTCTTTTTCTGAGGCATCTAGCTTCTTAGACTGATCATCGTTAGCTCTCTGGCCTATAGAGAGCCACCATGGGACCATCCAGAATCTGATGAAGCCAATTTCATGTGTCTGTCTGTCTCCCTTTGTACCCATCCTTCCATTAAACTTCTCCTCTAGAGGACCGTAAGGCTTGGGGAAATCATTAAATGGTTAAAGCATTTGCCGGAAGCTTGAGGACCAAAGTTCAGATCCTCAGAACCCATGTGAATGCTGGGGAGGTGTGGCAGCCTACCTGTAATTCCAGTCTCACAGAGACAAGTATTCCCTAGAGCAAGCTGACCAGAAAGATTAGCTATATCAGCAAACTCTGGGTTTGATTGAGAGTTCCTGCCTCAATGAATAAGGGGAAAGAATATAATTCCTGGCAGCCTTGGAGCTCTATGTACATGTGTATAGATACCCACATGTGCATGCACACACATATAGAAACATGTAAAAACTTGGAAAAAAATGGAGGGAGATGGGAGAGAGAGAGAGAGAGAGAGAGAGAGAGAGAGAGAGAGAGAGAGAGAACTGATTAACATACCAGGCATGAAAATGGAGAGAGAGAGAGAGAACTGATTAACATACCAGGCATGAAAATGGTTAGGCGGCCATGCATGCAAGCAGTGGGACACCACCTGCCCTAGTTTTCTAAAAGCAAACTCCACTCAAAGAAACTCAATTGAGATCTGGGTCATGGAGTAAGGCGTCTCCATCAGATGAGAGATCAAGCCAATGGGATCGCATCCATGAGTCACAGGTAGAAACCAGAAGGAAGCAGATAAAGTTCCTCCCTGCTTACAGACTTTGAAAAGAACATGACCCTGCCAACACGAGGATCTTTTTAACATCTCACCCCCAGGACTATGAGACATTTGTGTTGTATTCAGCCACCAATTAGTAGTACCTGTTAAGGCAGCCCAGAATTTCTCTTCTTTTAAAGAGTGTACCTACCTCATCCCAATGGCTTTGTGAAGAGGGAGTATTCTGCTGGTTTTGAATGAGTTTTCTACACATGCTGATAGACTTAAATGCTGATTGCTAGTGCTGTTTAGGATCCCTGTGTCCTTACTGGTGTTCTGTCACGTGACCTGTCAGTTACTGTAAGAGGTATGTTGGAGTTGTCATCTGCAGTCCTGGTATGACTGTTTCCCCTTGTGGTATGTAGTCTTGCTGACTGCAGCTTGACAATTCTGCATTAGGCAATTGAATGCTAAGGATTAGTATTCTAATCTAATTCTAATTCTTCTTGAATTAAAGTTTTTCCTCCCTATATAATATTCATCTTTGTTTAAAGTGAATTGGATACTACAACTTAAGTTTGGTTAATGGTAGGCATGGCCTGTCTTTCTCTAGCCTCTAACTTTTAAAATAACTCATTTAAAAATGTTTTGATATTTTGATATATTCACATATTTATCCTTCACTCCACATAAAGTGTACTTTTTAATATATTTAGGGGGATGTGCCACTGGCTATCCTGAAACTTACTATGTAGACCAGGCTTGCCTTGAAATAACAGAGATACACTTGCCTCTGCCTCCCAAGTGCTGGGATTAAAGGTGTTCACCATTATACCTTGCCACTATAATATATTTTTGTACCCTACAAAACCCTTCAAACTATTTGCCATCTGCTAGGAGTAGGTAAACATTAATCTACTTTCTTTCTCTGTGAATTTGGCTCTTCTGGCTACTTTGTGGTCATATTATCACATTGGAATGAAATACTTGTGGTCTTTTATAAATTGAATTGCATAATATGGTGTAATTATTAATAGTTTCTTTTGCTTAGTTTAATGTCCTCAAGGTTCCTTTATAATGTAGCAAGTATCAGACATTTTGTTCATTTTTGTTGACTATGTTCCATTATATAAATAATGGTTTTAATCTATCTGCTCATCAGTTTCTGATAATTTTGGTGTTTTTCTCTTTTTTGGTTACCATAAATAATGTTTCTATACACTTTTATATATTAATAATAATAATAATAATTAATAGTCATTATTATTATTTGGTATATATATCTACTTTACTAGTTGCTTTTTGGTTGCTGTGAGAAAGGACCATAATCAAAAATAACTTATGGAGAAAAGAGTGTATTTTGACTGATGGATCCAGAAAAAGCTTTAATGGAAGGGGGCATGGCATCAGGCAGCCAGAACAGGAAGCTAAGAGATCACATCTTGAACTGCAAACATGAAGCCCAGAAAAGGGCTGGAAGTGTGGTGAGGCCAGGAGCTCTCAAAGCCTACCCATAGTGACACACCGCCTCCAGCAAGGCTACACCTCATGAACATTCCATAATGTACTCCAAACAGCTCCAACTAGGGACCAGTTACTGTAATAGTAAGCCTATAGGGGGGCGGAGGGCATTTCTCATTCAAACCATCACATCTACATGTACACTGCTGGATTATGGGATGACTGTATACACTTGAAAGGACTTGCCCGACTTTACCAGCTACTACATGATCACTGACAGCACAAGGCTCAAATATCTCCATATAGTCCCTCACTTGTTCCTGTCTCCTTTTTATTACAGTGACCTTAGTGGATATGAGAGGGTGTCTTACACTGGTTTTGGTTTCCATCTATCCTGAAGACCCACACTACTGAGCACCTTTTCATATGTTTTAGTTACTTGTGTATTATCTTTGGACAAATGCCTATAAAAGGCTCCTTGTTTTTTTTTTCCTTTTTGTACTCTAATTGTTCTTTATATGTTGTAAACACGGTTGCTTATCCTTCTGGGGGCATAGCAAAAAAAATTCTCTTAATTCAGAGGCTTGACAATTCCACATGGTGCTTATGGATAGCTTTTCATTTAGCTAGGATGTTGAATTCTTTTTTGTATCTGGTGTGAAATATTAACCGGAGTATAGGTGGAGGTAAGGTGGGAGGAGTAAGGAGAGGAAGAAGAGGAGTAGGGAGAGGAAGAGAAAAAGAAAGAGGAGGAGCTAGGGAGAGAGAGATGTAGGAGGATGGAGAGCCACGCAGGTATGGAGAGCAGTTACGGGTAACAACTTATATTTAGGTTAGCTAATTGGGAAACAACTCTAATTGTATGGGCATATTGTTACTGAGCATTACTAAATATACAAAGCCTTTGATTAATCTTTAAGCATGGATAGTGGGATGGTCTGGGCACTGCCCAGCCCTGTAGCGACAGTGTGGAAGATTGGCAGAGACATTTCCCATGCTGGTGTCTCATGAGTGGCAGGGCTGGTGTTTCTTGCTAGCCATTTCTAGCTGCGGCCCACACGTGGCCTCTGGCCACAGAACATGGCAGCTGAACTTAGATAGTCGGCTTGACCAGTGGCTGGCTTTTAAATATTACTGCAACACTGGAGTTTATTCTTTTATGTGTGGACATGTGGTCGTCTTCCATTGTTGCAGAGCACTCTCTTCCTCTCGAATGAACTTGGTGTCCTTAGGCCAAGTGATTGTAAATGGGAAAGCTTATTTCTATACTCTCAGTTTTATCCAATCAGATCCTGACCTGTGTTGCAGGCAGGATCTTAAGCATGAGCTCATTTACTTCTCAGTTACTAGTGTTAGACTTTGGCGTGCAGCTTAGAACAGACCACACTAGACCAAACGGTTCCAAGGGGGGGTGGGTTATTCAGGAGATAGGGCCAAACCCCGCGCGGCGGAGAAGTAGAGGAAGAAGATGGAAGAAGAGAGAGAAGAGAGGTGGAGGCCAGCCATGACCACGTGGAGAGAGGGGGAAGGGAAGGGAGGAGGGGAGAGGGGACAGAGGGAAGCTAGAGGCAAGAGATCAAGAGATTAAGAGAGAAAGAAGGGGGCAAGCAGCCCCTTTTATAGTGGGCAGGCCTACCTGGCTGTTGCCAGGTAACTGTGGGGCGGAGCATACCTGGCTGTTGCCAGGTAACCGTGGAGGTGGAGTTTAGACAGAATACTAACAACTAGGTGCTGTTGACACTATTCCTTGTTCTGCCTTGCAGAGGAAGTGGTTTAGATCTGTGAGTGGTATGTCTGGACTCAAACTTGCGCCAAAACTGACTAACTGAGCTTTCAGCTGTGGCGTGAATAAATATTTGCAATCAGAAGTATAGAATTGCACTGAAAAATCCATTTTAGCAAAAAGTACTGTGAGTCGGATTGGCCTACTGGGCTGGGGAAACACCTCCAGATAGGAACTTATACCTTGTTGTCTGAGTGGTGGAGTCAGAAACCCTTCCATCTCCAGGCAGAGGACTCGCGGGTTTGTGGATTAAAGCGCTACTCTCGGTTAAGGGAACCCAGGAGCGGCAGGTCAAAGCCTAGGCAAAAAACTGTTCTTCGTGGAGACAGAAAAGATTCTGCCCTCTGGCGAGAGACAGGCCGAGACTTGAGAACTCTCGCGGGAAGATGTGCCGTTACCACAGCAACCGCATCGCCTGTAGTAGGCAAAGATGGCGGGGCAAAGTGTTGGAGTGTCGGTTAGTTCAACCCTAGACTCCTAGCCAGTGGCTGGGCTGAGAAATGGCGGGCGGTCGGGAGGAACCGACACCGGGCTCTCTTGAACTTGAGCTCTGCAACTTTATCTGCAGAGACGCGGTGCTTCAGGTACTCAGTCGCGCGGGCAGCTTGCAGCTGGACGGGACCTCCTTGCCCGTGAGCAAGAGTACATGTGAGCATCCCTTATATTTCCAGGGAGGTTACTGGGGTGCCTTTCCTGCAGGATGGCTGCATATTGGGACCTCCTCTTTCTTCATTTCCCTTTAGCCTTGTTTTTTTCACAGGAGTAGTGTGGGGAAAATAACTGTAGGGGCAAAAATGTAGTCCAAAACGGTGTGGCAGGGGGGTTCACTTGGAAGTGGCTTGGAGCGCAGGAATAACTACCGAGAGAGAAACCCCCAGAATAGATTTTGAGGATTCTCAACGTACAAGAGTTTACTTTGCGCAAATTTCTTGGAGGCTTGTTTTCCAAAGGAAAAGGTCCTGCCTACAGTGGGAAGGAAGAAGGATGATATCCCTTCCTTGTCTTGTTCTCTGGCAATTACAAAGCTCTTGAAAACACAGGCCTACCCCCACCGCCCTTCCTGAGTTTTTTGCAGAGGCCAGAGCAACCATTTCATTTCATTTCTTCATTTCATTTCATTTCATCTCTTCATTGCACTGCTTAGAACTGCGTTTAGTTGTTATTGCACTTGGAAAGTTTTAGCACCTCTGGCTCTTTCATTTATATCCTTCTGCTCCTCCTCTTTAACGTATTTAGTGTGGAACTTTCCGGTTACAAGGAACGTGGGTCTTTCTTTCTTCCCTTATCTCTTCTTGAGGGAAATCACACTTGCCTTTGGGCTGTAAAACTCAGAGGGGCCTTTGACCATGATGATCAGGGCCCTAGTTGTTTAACAATTTTTTGCAATTAGCACATTTTGTTAAAATAAGCTCACTTGATCTATCACTCTACACACTCTACACAGCCCTGGCTGTCCTGGATCTCACTATGTAGACCAGGTACTGAACTCACAGAGCTCCATCTGCTCTGCGTCTAGAGTGCTGGGATTAAAGGTGTGCACCACCATGCCCAGCAATAGTTTACCTTCCTATATTCTTTCTTCTCTGCTGGACTCTTAACTCCACCAGGGCAGAGATTATGTCTGCTTTATTTGCCATTCGATGTACCCTTATTTTTTTTAAAGTGTATTTTAACTTTTTAAATTTAAAGCATTTAAACTAACTTGTTTCAAGTACAAGAAGATGTGATTTTAAGCAGTTGAAGACCTTCAGCCTTGCTCCACTGTGACTCCTGCTGTAGAACCCCATTGATTCTGGTGGAGACCACCATCTTACTAATTATGATAGTTTATTTTCTATGCACCCTCTTTCCCTGTTTATGAAATACAAACAGTAACCACAAGTACCTGTCATTTTGAGGAGATCACTTTTAATAATTCATCATTTTATTTGAGGTTTGCACCAGAATTGGGTAGATTCCTTTTAATACAGGCACTAAAATGTTGTTTGCTTTGATTCCCAACTTGACCAAATGTAATTTTTAAAAATTTTGATATAAATTTTTCTCCACAATTTAATTCAGGTTATAATGTGTGTGGCAGAGGAGTTTACAAGAAACATAATTCAGGCAGGAAGTGAGCCTGGACTGTAAGCCTAAAAGAGCTCCTCTGGTATCCTGTCCAAAAGCTATGCCTCTCCACACACCACCGCTAGCTGGGAGCCACTTGTGGGGAAGTTAACGCTCAAACCATGAGTCTCTGTTCTTGCTCTTTCCCGGTTTTTCAAATTAGAATTCTGATTAAAAATTTTTATTGTGGTTTTTTTTTTTCCTGGTTTTTATAGTGTAAATCCCTCCTCTCCCTTCTTGTGCCTGCCTATTCTCCCTGGGTGGCTAATGTGATTTGTTATTTTTTAAAAGTCGTCTTCAGCAGGGCTAGTTTTCCTAGCCCTTATATTCTAGGTGGGAAAATGTCCCTGTAGCTTGGCTTTGAGTTTCCCCTACTAGCTTACCTTTCTTTTGCGATAAAGTTGTGTGAAGGTTGGCATTCTGTCTCTGGACCCCTCCTCCTTGTGTTTGAAGTGTTTGAATTACAAGGTGGTCCTTCCACCTCAACGCAGCTCTCGCCTGAGGTTGTGGGAGGCGTTTTGTGACCCGTGTTTTACAGCTCATGACTTCTCTCTGTTAGGCTGTCTGGCTTCTATTTCTCTGTGTGGCTGTCACTTAGAATTCTGAGTCACTCTTTGTATGAGGCTGTTCCCTGAGCTTGGGCTTAGTGATTATTTCTATGGTTAAATTTTCTCTCTCATTTTAATGAGTTTAGAGTAGAAAAATAGGCTTAATCCTCTCGGTTGACCTTCATTGACTCAGTTTCAATTTAAGTCCTCCTGATTATTCTAAGAAAAAGTTAAAAGTCACTTTAAATATAATAAGTCTATTTCTTAGATACTTCTCTTTTAACCAAGTAATCCTAAAACATGAACATATTTCTTAAAGGTAACACTGTTTTGAGTAAGGATATGGTGGTGTCTGTTCTTCCTCTTCCACCACCCCATCCCCCTTAGGTTAGGGATTAGATCTTCTTGTTAGTTTAGAGTCATGTTCTAATGCATCTTCCTGAGAACTCCTTGATAGAACTTCAGAAAGGCCATGGTTAGGAATGGGACCCTTCAATAGGAGAAAAAGATACATATCATAGTGTGACTCTTTAAAAGGGAGATTGACTGGAATAGAATTTAGTGCACTAGGCTGAATGTGCTCTCTGGACTGTTGTGAAGCCAGTTAAGATGCTGATCATGTAGAGATAAATATATTTCTTCCCTGTTTCTGGGTGAATACAAACTTGTGTGCATGCTATAGATAACAATTGGGAGGAAAGATTAAAAATAAAAAGGTTAAATGGTTAAATGATAATAGTTAACTTTTCCCCTTTAAATCATTTTCCTTAAAAGCATTTTTGCAGGCTTAATTGGATCAAGTAGTTGTCATGTTTTTTGCTAGATTGCAAATGGAGGCCAAATTAATCCCATATTTCTGATGATATTGGTACTGAAGTGTGTGGCTGAGTTGTGAGCTGGCTCCCCAAAGATAGTAACACCCCAGCCATGCAGGCTTCCCTGATTCTGGCCACTCTGATCATCAGGAGGGCAAGCCCACCTATCTGTAAAGATGAATGGGTGGAACTTAGGTTCTCCCGTGGTTAATCCTGGAGCTGAGTTGAACTCACTGTTTGCTCTTGCCTGATTTACTAGTATGAAGACTTACTTCATGGAAGGTACGAGTAAAGGGCTGTGGGAACGCAGGGCAGTGCGTGCGGTCCTGCCAGAGAGAGAAGCGGTGTGCTGTTCTAGTCGCTGTGTTCATCTTAGACTAAAAATGTTGTGTGTGCTTTGCCATGCATTGATGATAATGTAATTGCTCAAATGTAATTATTTTTATTTTAGTTATAATTTGAGTATAACCCAAATATCATGTTATTTCTGCTTTTAGGCGTTTAAATGCAGAATTGGAAGCAAAAGCTGCTAATCTGGTTCGACAGGCTGAGGAAGTAATAGTAAGTAGATGTACAGATTTCCCTGTAAGTGCTAATTTTTAACTTTAAATTTAATGCATAAGATGCATATTAAAAATGCCCCAAGCATCAATGGTGAGCTCAGTGAGTGACAGTGAATGTGAGTGTACAGGTGTAGTTCCAGTGTGTGTGGTAAACGTAGTTTCTATTCAGATGCCCCAATCACATAACCAATGAGAACATTAATGTCAGTAATCTTTTCCAGTACCAAAATATAAGTATCATACAGTTCTAACGTGTTCTTGGGTCCCTAACTGCTCAAATTTGAGGATTACTGACTCAGGCTTACCCTTTGACCTAATAAAAGAAGAAGTTGCCAGATCCTACCTACAGACTGATGAGTGTGTCTATGACTAGACAGGTAGGAATAATTAAAAAATTACACCAAAAAAATGGAGTAGAGTTCAGAGTACCAGGCCCAAGGTGGGAGCTGAGTGGTGAGAGCAGGCACTGA